AAAGATTACATAACTAAAAGATTAAAGTTTCAAATTTCAATTCTACTACTTTTTCAAATTTTATTTATAAACTAATTAATTAAATATATTACATTTCCATATAATTTGGTCACATATTATTAATTGATCACAAATCATAATTTTTATATGTCACAAATTATTTTACGGTCACAATTCAAAAATTTTATAGGTCACAATTTGTTCATCGGTCATAAATCAAAAATTTATACGTCATAAATTTATTCATCGGTCACAAATCTATCAAATTAATAATATATTATTCATTTGTCACAAATTTTATATGTCACAAATTATTTTACAGTTACAATTCAAAAATTTTATATGTCACAATTTGTTCATCGATTACAAATAAAAAAATTTATACATCACAATTTATTATCGGTCACAAATCACAAGTATTATAAGTTACAACGTATTAGACAAACACAAATTATTAAATTATCGGTCACATATTAACAACTTTTTAGGTCACACATTATTTTTTTTATCACAAATTATTGAATTTTAAAGTCACATTTTAATAGTTAGTCATAATAAACCAAATAATTGGTCACAGACATTATCCCACCATCGCCACTACCACGACAGCACACAACACAACCACCACCACCACCAGATCCAATACACTCCCAACAAAAATCATCACAACCACCCCTGCCATCGCCGCCACCGCCACCATTTTTGCAACACCACTATCACCACGCTATCGCACATGCCACCAGTCACCACTGAAACAACACCACACAACAACCACTACACACCGCACACACCACCGTCACTACCATACCACACACATCACCCACTATACACCCCGGCACCCAACCCCAACTACTGCACGCAACACCACACCGCACCCAACTATCGCGAAGGCTCCACCATCGGACATAGCACATTACCCAACCACCGCACACCACCACCGCACCCAAACCAACAATCGCATAAAAAGTAATCAAAAGAAGAAGAAGAAGAAGAAGAATTCCCACGCACGAAGGAAAGCCATAGTCGCTACACTGTGATGAGTCATCGGCATCAGTCGCGTGCAGCGTTAGCGACGAGCTCCGTTGTGTCTCCGACGACGGCTGTGTGAGGAAGAGGAGAGAGAGAGATAGACGAGAGAGTAGGCGGGGAAGAGAGCGAGAGAGGAGAGGAAGAAATATGACTTTAGGTTTGGGTAATTATGATTTAGATGGAGAAGATATATGAAATAAATGAGTTAATATATGATTTTTGTAAAAAAAAAATGTTTATATCTGAAATTTGAAATTAAAATTTTAAAATTCTGATTTTGTGTAATTTCCACTTCACAATATTACCCGTTACAATATTACCCGTTACTCTTTATATTAACGTGAATTAAGCAATTAAAGGAAAAATATAGTGACATATTATGGTAATATATTAAGTTGAATCATGGTACTAATTAAATAAGTTGCTTAATTGGTATTAGAATTCAATTTAAATATCTTATAACTAGATATTAAGGACTTGTTTGAGATGAATTAAAATTGAAAATATAGCCGTTATTAAGTCTCACTCGTTTAATAAAAGTCTACAATAACGACTAGTTTTTCAATTTTAATTCGATTTTAATCTCTACCGAACGTACTCTAAAAATTCGAATCCTACTAAATGAGATAGAATCCAGTGATCTCTCAAAGCGGACAATACATGTGAGTTAAAAGTAACCTTTTTATTTTAAGATCTGATTTTCATGGTAATTGGAAATCTTTAAGAAAACAATTAAAATTTTTTAATTAATTTATTTTGATAAT